TTTCAACCCGGTGTCTCGGAGGACACTTAGCCCCTGGCACTGGTAGCCAGTGAAAAAGTGCATGCCCGGCACGAATGCCCAAGCGACATGCGCACGGTATCTGAAACTAGAACTAGAACTACCAAAGTGTGAACTAAAAAGTTGGCGAGACAGAGTCAGAGTGGCCAACATGTCCAACGCGCCTAAAACCTATCTATCTATCTATCTATCTATCCATCTATCGGTCTAGCTATGTATCTATCTAAGTAATTCTTCTCATCACAGATGTAGTTGTTCTTCCCTAATACAGGCAATGTACAGAGTGAATATAAAGTGTGTAGTGCTCTGCAGGGCGGCAGGGTGGTATCTATGGAAACTTCCAGCCCCGAATTTGCCTTCCCAGCTTAAGCCCAAACCCCAAACGGCTTAGGGAGTTTAGGCTTGAGGTTAATGTTTGCTGAGTGCCTCTGGCTGTGAACTGGCGATTCAGGTCACGATCGATCGCTGTTGGACGGCGCCCGGTTCTCAACTACCAAGGGAACCGAGGTACCTTTCCGGAGGATGCTTGCAAGACTCACACCACCACCACCACCAGCAGCAACAACATCATAATCATCAGCATTTTGCAGAGCTATGACTAAAAGTAACCATTATCGTTCCTGAGCGTTCGGGTTGTCGGGTTCTTGTTGATAGAGACCTTGTTTTGCACGATGTAATTAGACATGAACGGAGCCTTCTAAAAACTCCAGAAAAAGCCGACCAAAGCACACATGCTAAAAACTGCGCACTCTATGTTGGTTCAGTACTATAAGTCTCTTCAAAAGCCTAGAGAGGCATATGTTAACTATTGCGGCCCGTAAGCCATAAACCTTAAAACCCCTAACTTCGTACTAGCACCCAAACTGCGTACTAACGCCAAAACTCTAAACCCTAGACCCCTAAACCCTAGCCCCTGAACCCCTATACCCGAAATCACTAAACCCTCAAGTCTTAAACTCCTTGCGCCCTAAACAGTGAACCCTAAGTTAGCTGAGTTGAGAGAAGCCCAGGTTTGCGACTCCTTCGTCGTGATGCAGTCGGATGGAAGCCACTTGGATGATGAAACCTTGGTTTGGGCTTAGGTCAAGGTTTTGGGTTTAGGGGTTGCAGGCCTATATCCTGGGGTTCTGCAGGAAGGCATGCCGCAGACAATCACACATCTCCCGGCAGGGTCGGGCAACAGGCCGCTCTGCTATGCCTTAAACCCTACACCGGTTTGTCCGTATTTGTATGGGTCTTGGATGTCTGTTGAGTCTGCGATGCCAAGGGCCTAACGCGCCTACATGACCGAAAGCATACACACCGAAATCATCATGCTAAGTATTGCCTACATGCCTTTCTCACCTACATGACCGAAAGCATACAATACAATCCGAAAAATCATATTCATGATTCCCACCTGCATGACCGAAAGCATACAAACCGAAATGATCATGTTAAGTATTGCCTACATGCCTGTCGCACCGGCACGACCGAAAGCAAACGAACCAAAATATTGGTGTTAAGTTCGAAAAGCCCAACCAAAAAATAATTGCATTTCTGTATGGTACATCCGTTAAATCTATTATATTCCACATTCGTGCTGGGGCGCAAAACGAGAAAGGGACGAATCACAACCACCATTATCCAGCTTTGATGCTGAAACCTGAAGGCTGTATCATGGTTTTCTGCAGAGCATGTCCAAACTTATGAAGGCACCGCAATAACCAGTTGTGGTTTCTCCCGTTTGGGCCAGCCCACAAAAATGGTTCAGTTACGTTTTCCGCCGTTTTCCGCCGTGTGGGTGTATTTTCTCCCGTTTGGTTTTTGTTTCGACCCGGTCGCCCCAAAGCCCTCAACCCAAAGCCCTAAACCCCCAACCCTAAANNCTAGACCCTAGACCCTAGACCCTATACCCTAGACCCTAGACCCTAGACCCTAGACCCTACACCCTAAACCCTAAACCCAAACCAGCCTTTGCATTCTCTTCAGTGTTGCTGGGCAAGGCCAGCCGAAACTCTGGACTGGCTCCTTCGTCGAGCTTCTTGAGACACAGAAGAAGACGAGGCCGGGTTTGGGGGTTTAGGGTGTATAGGGTTTAGGACTTTAGGAATTTAGGGGGGCGCGGTAGGATTTCAATCTAGGGTTTAGGGTTTGAGGTTTAGGGTAGGGTTTGGGATCTAGGATTTGTAGAATACATGAAGTTAGCGTTCAGGGTGATATAGATCAAGGTTCCAGAACTAGGGTTTAAGGGTGTAAGTGTTAGGGTTGTTCAGGATGTCGGGTTGGGTTTAGGGTTTAGGGTTTAGGGTTTAGTACATCTACTATTCTGGGTTGCATGACTTGTGTAGTCGACGGGCCTTGTTATCGACGGTTTTTGGGGTTTAGGGTTGAGTATAGGTTTGCGTAGTCTTGGAGTTTAGGAGTTTAGGGATTTGCGTTTTGATTTTTAGTTCAGCTCGTCGTACCGTCCCACCTTGGACCGTCACAGGTGGCCAAGTCACCCAATTTTTCAGATCAAGCCTTAGGTGGGAAACCATAGCAATATCCAAAGGACCGAAATCGGACATAGAGGAGGAGAATCGATCTACTATGTATCGCTTCTCCACAAAAGTTAGCTGGGGTATTCTGTAGTTTTACAACAAGAGGCCCTTATAATGCAAACCCTACTTGGCGAGTCGGGGGACTTATATAGTAAGTGGTTCTTTTACAGAGTTATAAGTGTCAGAACCCCGATTACGATCCCTTTTGAGGGTACTTACAACTCTGTCGTGTACCTACTTACTAAGTCTTCCGATCCTTCGCCCTAAGCAAAGCGGCTTGGTGGGTCGGAATGGGCCAACGAGGTCGGCGCCGCCTGTAGGATTTATGCTATGAGTTTTGTACTAGGGTTTTCTGGGTTGAAGCTTTAGGATTTAGGATTTGGGGTTCCAGGTTCAGGATATCAGGTGATGAGAGATACGGGCTTAGGTCAGCAGCTGATGCTGAGGTTTCAGAGTCTAACATGTCGGTGGAGATGCTTCAGACTCCTCGATGCTTCGATGAAGTGACAGTTCCAAGATTGGCAGAAAGCTTTGTGTGAGGCGCCGGAGAAGAAGATCTCAAGTTCTGGGCTTATTTGTGGGAGTATCAGAAAAAGAACGGAAGGGGTCTTGCGATAGATCACAGTGCTTGAGATTCGCTCTGGAAAGATTATTTGCAGTAGAAGCTGATCCTCGTGAGCTTGCAGATCCGACATTCCGCACTTTCTACAGCCAGACAGAAGACCCTGAAGCCTAAACTGTAAACCCTGAAGCCTGAAGACGAGAAGCCTCCAAATCTCATAGGACGCCTGACGCAAGCGCAGCGAGCACTGCGTCGAAGCAGGGGCCCTGGTTGCTTCCGATTCGGCCTCGTGTCATGGTATGGGTTTAGGGTTTAGAAGTTTAGGGTTTACTTAAGAGTTGCATTCTGGTTTGGCCTTTGCAGAGCTTAGGGGCGTAGTGTGGCGGCCGTGGTGGTGGTGCTCGTGCTGGTGCTGGGGCTGGTGCTGATGGTGGTGGTGGTGGTGGTGGTGGACATCTAGGCCCAACAACGGCAACACCAGCATCAACTACTGTGAGCCATGAGACTCAGAACCAGCGCTGCACTCATACCGACTCCACAAGCCCCAACACCCACAGCCCAAAGCCTCCCAGCTAAGAATCCCTAAACCCTAAAAACGGTGCACCCGAAACCATGACACCCTTACAGCCCTAAACCCTAAACCTTGGACTCTACAGCCCCTAAACCCTAAGCCCTAAATCATGACACCCTTACAGCCCTTACACCCTAAAATCCGAACCTTTGGGCATCAAACCCCCCTAGGCCCACACCCTAAACCCTAAACCCTGAACCCTAAACCCTGAACCCTGAATCCTGAACCTTAAACACTAAAAACCCCGGAAAGCCCAGACCCTAAACCCTAAACCAAAGTTGTAGACTTACTTTGGGCCCAGGGGACTTAGTAAGTAGGTTATAAGTAGAGTTTTAAGTACCCTAACTGGAGCTACCCCAATTATAACCCTACTTATAACCCCCTAAACCCTAAACCCTAAACCCTAAACCCTAAACCCTAAACCCTAACCCTACTTATAACCGACTTACTAAGTCCCCTGGGCCTCCAAGTACGATTTCAGGCCCAGGGTCGTCTGTTGATGACAGGCCCGCGTCCGGCCCCAAGCAGTCCAAGCAGAAGTCGGACAAGAAGGCTGAGAGGCCCGGAGACGGCTTCGACTTGGAGATTATAGGGGTTAGAGGTTAGAGTTTAGGGTTTAGGGTTTAGGGCTTCGACTTGGGGATTAGAGGGGTTAGAGTTTAGGGCTTTAGGCTCCTAAACCCTAAACCTTAAACCCTCAACCTTAAACCCTAAACCCTAAACTCTAAACCTTAAACCCTGAACCCTAGACCCTCAAAACCGTTTAGGCGTTTGGTAGTTGCTCGTAGATTTTATAGGGGACCCAGAGTTTGGGTCTCTGATGGCCTCTAAGGGTTTAGGGTTTAGGGTTTTAGGGTTTCGGGTTTAGGGTTTTAGGGTTTTAGGGTTTAGGGTTTAGGGTTTTAGGGTTTTGGGTGTTGTTTAATAGGGTTTAGGGTTTAGGGTTTACGAGGTGTTCGGGTTTGGGGGTTTCAAGCGTTGTACAGGTTTAGGGTTTTGTGAAGCTGCAGGGGTGCAAGCCCAAGCCCTGAGCACGATCTCCTTCACCTGCCGGGTTTAGGGTTTAGGGGTTTGGGGTTAGGGTTTAGGGGTTTAGGGGTTTAGGGTTTGTTCAATGTTCCGCGCACACCACCATGCGGCACGTGTTGTGTGGTGTGCGCTGGGGTTCACGCTCTTTCCCAACCCACCCACCATCATTTCAACCTTGGGCGGGTTTAGGGTTTGCCTACCCCCCTGCCCCCCTAGCAAGGGAGGTCTATTTTGTCACGAGCTTGCATGCAGGAAGCAA